GGGTGGGGGAAAAAGAAACACCCAAACTAAACCTATAAGGTGGCAACAAAAGATGGACGGAGCTTACGGCCATACAAGCGCTGCCTTAAACCTGCATTCTCTGTAATGGCCAGCAGGGGGCGACTCAGAAAGATCTAAAACCTGATTAAGCAGTTTTCTGTTGATTGTTTGAGGTCTTCTTGAACACGTGATGCTCATTTAGGAAATTTTGTTTGTTATTAGAGTCACAAACAGATTACACAAGTCCCTTTCAGTTTCCAGATGCAAATGTTGCAGCAGAGGAGACCCTCAGCTGGGACTTAAATATTGTGGCTAGGTCCATCTTTTATGTACAGTCTGAAGATGGTGTGCATTAGCTACTGTGCAGCTTTATGGTGTTTGTGTCCCTTTTTAATGCATTAAACAGGTCAAAACTTCTAGAAGTACTAGAAAAATGCAAAGTCGTGAAAGCTAACGTTGGCCACATGTGTCAAACTCCCCAAAATTCCCTTTAAACAACACTATGAACAAAAAACATCAGTTGGTTTTGTTTTTCTGCTTAGATGTTAGAAAAGATTTGAGCACCGCATGTTCACCAGAACAAAGGAGGGTTTTTTTCTTATGATGCTATGCCTTGGTCCCAATATTTGATGCAGAAATAAAACTGAAAACCATCGTCATAAATCCGCGATGGTCAGACTTTTAAGGGTATTTTTAACAGGTACTGGGACCACAAACTTCCCTTTACTTCCACAGATCCTCTTTTACAGCCGACATCTCTGCCAAGTGTAAGCAGGTAAAATACAGGTGGACTGATTTCAAAAATCACTAATACACCCGAAGCTTTTCCTGCTTTAATACTGCAAAGTAATTGGCTGTAAATTGGATGAACAGACTCTGGGTTTAACGTGGATTTTGGGAGGTGGTGCCATCTAGTTTGCAGGTTTAAATTGGGTGTTTTTCCCTCCCCCCGTGTTCACCTGCGACCCCTCGCACACAGAGTGATTAAGAAGAAAAGAAAACCTGCAGGGGACCATCAGTGGAGGAACATCAGTTCTGCCCTGGCTGGCAGGCAGGGAGGTGAAAGTGGCGAGCACCGGTTGTTTCTAAAGCACCTCACGGATGATACTCGGCGAGTCGGTGAAGAGAACGATGAAGGCGGGTGGTTGTCCTGGGGATGTAGTTTAACAGAGACACAGAACATACAGCTGATAAAATAAGAAGCTACATATTGTGCCTGCTCGAGTTCAAACCACCAAATTCAAACGCTACAAAAAATTAGCCACACAAAAAAACAACTTTAGGCTCATTCAAAAAAAGGGCGATCATCACCAACGTGTTCGATCAGAGGAGGGCGTCTTTTCAAATTTAATACTGAAAATAGAAACTCTATTTAAGTGGGATTACTCTGCAGCTCGTAGCGTTTCCAGGTCTGAGCTTTGACTGATGATTGTACTTTAAGGGGCTCATCAAAGAGACCTATGAAAACCTGACGGAGCCGAGCCCACT